GAGATAAAACATTTGTTAACAGTTAAGGCGACTGAAATGCATAGTGAACAATATCCGGTTACTTTTGAAGGCAATTTGACGCCCCCAATATGAGGTCCACACACTATTACTTTTTATACAGAAAATTTTTCAATTTTCAGATGCAAAGTCATGGACTCATTATGCGAATGGCGTAACTCTGTACAGCCATGTTTCAAGCAGTAAAGTTCAAAATTAATTCAAACTCCTGATTTCTGATGACTGATTTCCCACTTTTCACTCAAAATGCCGAGCATCCCTATGGACCTGCACAAAATATTTTGCAGAGAATATGAAACGATTTCTGACTCGGCATGTGACTGAATCGATGCAGCCTGCAAGTCACTCAAAGCAGATCAATACAGTATCAACTTAAAAACGTTCTGCATAATCTTACGCTAAGACTTTTGGTGCCGCATGCTTCTTATCAGCAATATTATGGCCAAAGCTTAACATACCGTACTTTATGAGGCTTTCCTCACACGGTACAAAAAGAAAGACTCATTCTGCAAGCTAAGTTCCGCATGGTTTGCTTTATTCGCTTGAAAGCAGACTGTTTATCATGAAAAACTGTAATCGGAATACCACTGCTTTCAGCTCGTTTAAACTGGCTCACTAGGTTCTTAAAAATGAACTATCATTTCGCAAAAGATTAGAGTAAAGGAGTATAAAAAGCCCATAGATTATAACCGTGAGCGAGACGAAAAAGCTAAATGAACAGAGAGGGTTTATGAGCATATTTGGAAAGAAAATCGATAGAATATTGCAACCGCTGTTCAGTGTTGAATTTACTGTATTTATCTGGCAGAAAGCTTTATTGATTTTCTGCCCATTCACACAGTTTTCCTATTATTTCTTAAGGCGAGCATCCAATTTAAAAATAAACGTCTATATACAGCGTTCAGACAAAATCGAATCAACTGTCGTGAGGCCTCGTTATAGTCTAAGCTCGACATGCATAACCGACGGTAGGCAAAGATGCAATAAAGAGCAAAACGTAATGAATCTCAAACAGTCCGCTAAACCAGAAGCCACTTCAGATGAGATTGAAATGTTCCTCATGCTTCATAAAGCAGCTACGTCTAAGAGCAAGACGCTCTCAGTAAGAATTCCCGATGTAAGAACTGACCTCCATCGTCAGTACTTATTTTCAGGATATCTTTTCCTTTCGCTATGTATCTTCTGAACAGATAATAATGGTGCACAGGTAAAAGGTACAAAAAAGAGAAATGACGATGGGTAACATTAGGAAAAGAAAATAAGTTCATCATTCTCATAAAGCAAGTTTTCATGAGAATAACTTTCATTATATTAGGTAACCATCATTTTTACTATCATTTAAAAATATGGTGTAAGTAACTTGTGAATGGTGTCCCTCATACTTTCTTAGCTAAATAATGCAGTAAAATGATAAGAAATTGAAGCATTCGACCGTCGTCTCTTTAAATACAGACACAATTCATTATTATTTTTCTAGGATACATTTCTAGAGGTCCATACTTGATGAAGGAAGGTGTGAAGCATTTCTGCTACTTTCGTTCGTTCATATCCGATTAGCTATGGAATAATTCGATTCCCAGCTCAGGCCTTCTTCCAAATCAGATCAAGCTGGTCATTTTGATTATTTGTGGAAAGATCTGCAGAAATTTATAACGTGAACAAAAAGCTAACATTCAGAAAACGTATATCAGGACAGTAGCAGCAGAAACAACGAGATAACGGTGCATTTAATGATGATTTAGAAAGTGTGAAGTGACTTCTAGAACAATAATCGATGACGTACTCCTGATACCTTCACAGCTGACAGATGCTGTCAGAATCAGGTCTACTAAAAAAGGTGCATCATAATCTTCAACTATTTGTAAAATTAAAAGAGAGACATTAATTCATTCACATTCAAATACTGCTGTTCTTTCAGGCAGCTGCTACTGCGGCCTTCGCAATGGTTCTGTCCGCCGCCAAACCGACAAGCTCTCCAGTCAGGGTCCCAAAGCGCGAACAGTGCCATACCATCTCTGTCCTGGGTGTTTGATCTGGGCAGTCATCCATACAGCTTTGCTGAGGAACTCCGCTTGAAGAGTCTATCTAACGGAATCCACATCAAATGTCCAAAACATTTAAACTGTTAATTCTCAGCCTCCGAAGAAGCGACTCACAACAGAGGGTATATCTAACTTATTGATCAACTTTTTGGAAACAACTTTAATGAGCAAAGCAGCTTTTTAAGAAGCTCTCATTTTACAGCCGACATTACAGCCTGCATTTTACAGGTTATATCTGATGGCATTCATGACAATGTTCAAGCTATCTAATTTTAGGAATGCATTCGACAGATAAGTTAACCACAACCACCAACTTGAAATTGACGACATTGAATAATTAGAATTAGAATGCATAATGAATATCTGGAATGCAAAGCAGCATAAAAACAAAATTCAAGCAGTACCTAATTTCAGAAATTCTCGAAAAAAATATAGAAGTGCCGAGACATGGCTGGAAAGCGTTAATTCAGGCGTTCAAATTAAGGAATGAAAAATATTAAAATGACACCCGTTAATCTGTGAAATCTACTAAGAACAAAAGATCTAGGCTTCCGAAACTAAAATTGGTGGCTGATTGTTTTGTTTTTGCAACGCTGCGCTTATTCATAGTCTTTGAAACCGAAATCAATCCACGTTTATTCGTTATGGCGATCATAAATGTTGCTATCATGTGTGGCATATCACCATTCGGTTTCTCACTTTAGACGCCCGGGTTTCAGTACAACCAGCGGAAAAAAGGGAGCACGTCGATGACTTGTGAACAGTGGAAAGAACATGGTACTCTGGTGCGGTTATGCCAGAATGGACGAGAGGCACGGCCGCACAATCTGATTCATGCAAACTACGGCTGCAATTTGGCGTGATCGATCTGAGAGCTAACTAAATTGGCGAGTGTAACTTATCTACAAAAAATCATTGCTACAATGCTAACTGTTCAGTTTTATAGAGGACAATGGAAAAAATGCATATTCGCAGTCTTTCAATGACTGGTGCAAACATTAAGTGGAATCAACTGCTCCTGTAACTCCAGCTATGTCACAATCTTTGCCAGGAAAGGCAGAATCAGTAGGCGGTAAAGCTCTGAGCGGGCTGGTAATGAATCGGTTGTGGAACGATGGAAAGAAAAAGGAAAAACCGCAACCCCTGAGACGTGGGTCCCGATTAAGTGTGAATAATCTTGAACATCATTTTGAGGTAAGGGAGTTTATGGTAAGACACTGACTTCACCAAGGAGTGCCGTATTTTTTGACGTGACAGCTTCATGACCACTGCGCACTGACTTCTGCACTATCACTCCCCAGTAGTACCCATTTGTCAACTTATAAAGGTTAAAAGGCGAGCGACTCCTATGATCTTTCAACTGGTCTAACTCACTAGTACCTGAGTTACCCTTGTGGGTACCCTAAAGAGCATACACGTGTAACGATGTGATGTGAGATCAACAGATCATGCCGAACCATATTTCATGATTGTGATACTGAATATTTACGAAAGAGCCTTAAAAGAAAAACAAAATGTGGCATGAAAAGAGAACTCCATTAGCAGGAACGATCTTTAGCCGAGAGCCGTTAAGAATTTTACCACACTTTCTCTGAAGATTAACTGTAATCGTCAGCCTTGCTATATATCATTACGAAGGCGAAGTTCAGGGCAACACATTGGGCAAAATGTCGAAGTATGGTGCTTTCGAGTCTCGGTACGGTCACTCGTTAATTTTCTAAGGTTGACTGATAAATCGGCAATTGCAGGGAAACAGGTCATGAAAAAACAGTGTCATAAACGGCATCCAGGAAGTGTAAGGAACAACACTATATGTCAAGGTTTACAAGCTTTTCTTTTTCTGTAAAGACGGAAATTGGGTAAACCTACTGGGCTACCTTGACGAAGTACCGAAACGAGGATGATGAAGAATTATGCGATCTACCATCTTTACAAACATGACATTTACATCACATTTTATTTTCGTTATTTAAATTACTAAGCTATCCTATTTAAACTTTCCTCGTTCCCTGCTCTTTCAAAAACAGTATTCAGCCATTATCCTAATAAACGTCCGTAGGAAGCATAATGTAATACCATAAAACAACTGTACCGGATTGTTGCTGTGCCACTGCCGAAAGCGCTTCAACTCCAAAATATCGGGACAGCCTTTGAAAGCGAACTCTTCCAACTCTTTCAGCAATTTCTAGAAAAAACAAACAGCTGCAACGAACTGCGGTTCGTCCACCCACACTGCTCACCTCCTTTTCGCCCTCAGAAGCCTTACAGATTTGCTGCAGTCGAAACTGGACTTGTGCAAAATGTGTCGACAGCGCCAACAAAGCGGAGCTCAGTTTCTCCTGTTCTTCTTCCAACTGCACAAGACGACTATTTTTGTGCTCTGACAGGCTAAAATCAAGTGACTGCAGCGCACAATCGAAACAAAACGATCACATCACAGATGCTTAGAACCATCGTACCTGTTATCAGTCGAATGCCTCTCATCGCAGGCAGGTGCGCCAAGAGGGGACCATCGTTCCGTGGTAGGACCCACGCCCTCGTGGTCACGATCAGCTGTTTCGATTTCTTCTTCATCGTTACTTAGTGAGATCTCCTCCATGATTAGGCAACGTATGGGACACAGCGAAACAATCAAACAAGTTTAAAGACAGTCGAAAACTGAAGATCGCCCGTTTCATTATACGCAGTAATCAGCTACATTAGACCTCATCAAACGCAACTTGAAATAACATGACTACGAGCATTACTACGTCAGAGGATATTTACACGCTAGGAAAGCGAGCGCTAGTGTGTACTGTAAAAACTGTCTTGATTGACAAGTACAATTATGCATCAATTACTTTTTGACTTTAGCAGAATCATGAAACATCGAGAAACAAGACATTGGAAGTTTATATTGGTTTATTATTGTTTGAATAGCGAGAAGAATATGTCTATCTCGACAATAAAATTAGAAAATAATCATTGTATTTTTGTTTTGCCTTCTGTCCGCCTTATTCTTATTCATACCTTCCAGATGTGTAGCTGAAAAACGGATAGATCTTATGTCACAGAAATGAACTTTAAATGAATAAATTTTTCGCTGCGAAGCCACGAATGGTATTCACACATTTGCTGATCTTTCACACGGATTCGCTTTTTATCTCTTTCTTAAGTCAAGTCATTTCTTAAATTCTGATATGGCCCCCTGCTTAGGGCATAACCTTATGATTTGTGGTACATAAAACGCTTACAATCTTCGATATTTTTTGATCCGGTATCAATAATTTTAATATGATATCGTCAGCGGCTGTATCGAAAGATCCTCAAGAACATCGGAGTTATATATTTTATCCACCTTTCTACAACGGATCGTAACGGTCGTGGTAGAATATACTATTATTCAATTCCAGTTTGTGGTGCGGTTCTACATCCCATGCAGGCGCATAAATATCACCGAGCCATGACATCCTTAAAGTTTCTGATGGCGTCTAGAGCTGCTGATGTAAAGTAAAAAATAAATTTTTCTTTCTTTGTACTGTTCATTTCTGCGTTTCATTCCTGCATCAGTATTTTCAATGTTTCGATCTTTTATTTCTACGGTAAGCAGAATGTATTAGATGAAACTAGTTTAGAGGATCAAATGCAGCCTTGATTTGTCCAAAAACCAACTTAGGAAATCATGATGCATCATTTTGTCATCTTTCCGTCTCGGTGGAAAATGATAACTTTTCAATTATAGATTTTACGGTTACAATGCGATTTTTCATTATTCAGGTTTAGGTTTATTTCTACCTGTTGTGGTTTTCAAATTTTTGAGACTTATTTTTGGATTGTTTTGTCCATTGGAGAATAGGAAGAATGCCAGGTATCATCTATGCTCTTATCTGCATTTTCTTTTAACTTGACAGCCACTTTTTCTATTTCTTCAAAAGCCGTAGATGTATCTATGTGAGCCAGACCAATAACTAGAAAGTTTCATACCGATTTCCCTGTTAATGATTTTAAGGAAGCAGTTTATCTGATTCCATGATTAGCATGATGGAAAATGAGAAAAACTTTCAATTACAAACATTCTAACGCTTAGTTCGAGTTTGCATTGGTCGTCGTCATGGAATGAACAAAAGTTGAAAATAACTTATTGATCAATACGTGCCTAACCCGACTGGTAGAATGTTTGATCAGTTGCTAATGAAGGAATTAATCGTGGTCTATGTTGTAAAATGTCAATAGGAATGCCGCAGCCGTTACAAATTCTGTTTTGCTGGCTGCTACATGAAGCGACTCCGTTGTTTCGTTAACCTAGTCTTTCACAGTCGAGATGTGTTTCCGATATAAAAGTGATCACGTTCATTGCAAGCAATCCAAGATAGAATGAAGATAAAGCCTCCTATACAACAAGTTTTCTAACGTCTGCCAATTTAGAAAAACATGTTCAGCGCCTACATTTTATTACCGCCTAATTTCCTAGGATATGACAGAGAATAAGACAGAGATCGGAAGAAAATTAAAAAAATGGGCAAGATAAAATTTGCGGTGTTTAAGATCAATGAAGTACTTGACATATCTGTTTGCAAGAAATGTTAAGGAAAGTTTATTTCATCATCTGCTTGTAACTTAAAGCCCTAAGGTACATGGACTTCATTATATTGATGAGCGCAGATTTAAGAACGTAGGAAAAAGATTGGGGTCAACAGTTAAAAAGCTGTGGTTTCCAGTACACTGACAACGAAAATGCATTATTTGTCTCAGGTTTACTAAAATCATTTAAAAATACCATCTCTGTTCCTGTGCGTCAGAAAATTTTACATGGCTATTTATGTGATCCTTTGATTCTAAGGCTTTCTCTTTCCTATACAAGCGGTTCTAAAAACAGGGTTCGTCTTAAAATCGAAAAGTTTTCGTGTATGCAGAATACCAGTAGAGCTGCGAGTAGACAATTTTATATTAATCAATTAATTGTTCTCGCTTCAGAAGCGACCGCAATGCCTCATTTTAGTTCAGCGCAACAATAAGTGCTTCACAGAGCTTAAGAATGGGAGATTTCTTCAAGCTGATAAAGCTGTGGTATATTTTATAACGAAAGGAACACGAAAGGATTGGCAGTCACTCTACATGGCATGCAACTGAAACCTGGAGAAATTGCCAATTACTTCAGATTAGAGGAAATAAATTTTAAAGGCAGATACTATTAGTGCGACAGACTCATGCATTGCTAACATGCCGAACATCAACCTGCCAAAAAATTTCTGAAAAATTTCAACAGAAACCGATTAACTTTCAGCGACATAAAAGAAATGAAACTGTTAGTTCTTTAGCGAAACTTGAAGTGCCTAAAAATCCCGATCTCCGATATATCCTCAAATCAAACCGTCGACACTAAGGGTGTTAAAGATATGAGAATAATCAAGAATATGAGCACCGGCTACGAAAACTAGCTTCTCACTGTCATGCTATGCACCACCGCTGACGGTCAGACGCTGCCGTCATATCAAAGATGTACTAAAAATTGGACTGATGACAGCAGAGTTCATAGAAAACTGGCTAAATCCGATGTGAAATAGCCTTCCTGAAAATCTTCGTAACCCACCTGGCATGAAAGCAGTAAATCCGTTTCGTTGGACATTTATCTGAACTGGCCAAAAATATAATCATGCAAAAGTGTTGTGACTTGGTTGTAATTCATGGTGGCATGACTAGCCAATTGCAGTCACTCGACATTTCAGCCAACAAACCATTTCAGAATTACTTCAGAAAGAAATATAGATTCTGGCTGTCGATTGGCAACCTGCTGCTGACATCTTCCGGAAAGGTTAAGAAGGCGCCATCATAAAAACTGGCAGAATGGATATCAACCGTTTGGAAGCTA